GTGACAGGTAACAGGCAAATGGATGATGCGTAAGATAATTATCTTAGCACAATTAGTGTGCTCATAATTAGCATAATTCTTTCTTATCTCTTTTTCTTGCTTCTGATCATTCGGTCCTGTCTAGTTTTGCCCACTCTATGCACTCCTTGCAAAGAGATTTTCAAATTTCGTATCTTCTGGGAGCGATTTGTAATTTACGAAGCCCTTGAGTAAAACTCAGTAACCCTTATAACCTCTCCCAGGTTAATCTTTTAGCTTTTTCTTTTCTTCTTTTTGCTGGGATAACATTGCTTCAATGAATGTCTTTGTCAAATGCGTTGTAGCCAGGTTTATTTTGGATTCATAGGAGCCCAGCGTTAGCATTCTGAAGCCACAAAACCTGTCCAGAACCCACGTTATCTGTAGGATCATTTGATGCACGCTTGGAAGAGGAGCTGTGGTTAAGTGCGGACACAAAGGCTTGTCTAGACCATAAACACCTCTAATCTATTGATTCCAATAATGAGCAACTTCCCTGGGATGCGCTTGGCCTCCCCTGGTTCGGCTGTTGCCAAAGCCCTCTCGGATGATTACAAAGAGGGCTGTGGTTCTTTCTGCAGAACAGAGTGAAAAATCTCAAAAATGTAAAAGAAAAAATATCTTATTGAATAGGGCCAGGGATATAGCTGAATGACACAGTGCCAGTGCCTGCCTGGGATGTGCAAGCGCCTGAGTTTGATTCCTGGTTAAAAAAATTTGAAAAATTATATATCTATGTCTATATCTATATCTATCTATCTATCTATATCTATATCTATCTATCTATATATCTGCATGCAAAATAACTGATTCATCGTCTCTTCATGTTTTCTGAGGTTTTTTAAATTTTATTTTTACACTGGTGCCATGTTTCTGATATACTTCGGTATGTTTTCTTATTGTTGTTTTTTTATTCTTCATTGCTGTGCGCTACTTGATCCATATGGGTACCCTCTGAGGTACTCATACCAAATATATCAAATTTTCATCCTTTTTACTTTCCTTTCCCCTCAAAATTCTCTAGTTAAGTGTTCAGCCTACTTTTCCTATTGTATGATATTATGAAGAATGAAGGAATTCAAGTTCTGAACAATTTTTTTTTATGGTACCGGGGATTGAACTCAGGACCCTGCGCTTGTCAGGAAGTGCTTATTCTACTGAGCTATCTCTCCGGCCCCCTCAGACAAATTTTTGAAGGGAAAAAAAAAACATTGATTACATTTTGTTAGAAAATAAATGCAGAGATATTGTGGAAGGGAAAAAAAGTGCCCAAAAGGAAAGAACAACGGGTATGTGGGAAAGGAGAAAGGAGGAAAGAGAAAATAAGATAGATAGGTAGATAGATAGATAGATAGATAGATAGATAGATAGATAGATAGACAAAATCTAAGCTAATTGTACTAGTAATTGGAACTAGTTCGTTGAAAGGAATGATTTGTGTTCACATTGTTTGATTAATTTTGTACTTCTATCTCTTGTAATCTGGGCAAATGCTTTGAAGATAACAATGCACATTTCACTGGCCAATCTTCGCTTTCCTACTATCTCGTTTTGACATTCCGTGTCAATGTTTTTCTTGCTCTTCTCTCTTTAAATTAAAAAAAAAAAATCTGTGGCAAAACGAATCACTCTTCTTATTCAAATAAACAAATCGAGGGACAGTAACTCCAGAACCTCGTCCACAGAGCTACAGAGAGCAAAGGGAAGAAGAGAAAACTGCCACGGAACATAACCGTGCCTGCTTTTCAGATCCGCGATGGTGCAAGCCCCTCATGCCGGCCCCAGACAGAAAGACTCCCAAGCCCAGCAGGAGGAAGTTAGTGAGAACCCATCTCACAAATAAAATCGAAAGAGCTGCAGATGTAGCTCTGCAGTAGTTCAGAGCTCCTGGGCCAGTATCAAACAAAACAAAACAAAGCCCAAGCAACAAAAATACTTGCATGGGCTGTGCAGCCACTTTTGAGCAGGGTACGACTTGGAACTGCAAACAGTTCGTGGAAAGACTGAAGTCGCAAATAATTTTGGTGAAAGAAGTCAGCACGCATGGTGAGCGACACTTACACCAAGGATGGTACAGAACAAAGCCTGACCCTCTCTGACCATTGCGTCTCTGTGCCCAGCATTTGTGGACACGCCGCCTACTAACTCCAGGCTGGGTGGGTTCTGTGGATTTCTCTGCTTCTTAGGCTCAGAGAGGAGAAGTTAGCCCTTGCATGTAGCAACGCTCGCTTTCACTTCTTGGGAGCTCTCTTTGGGGTCTCTAGTCTGATCCTCATTACTCTTTCTCCTGCTCATAGGCCACAAGCAGCTTTGGTAGTTTGCTTGCTGCAGGGTCTCACTACGCAGCTTGGACTCGTGGTGATCCTCCTGCTTTCAGCCTCCTCAGTGCTGGGATTAGAGGCATGCGTCACTACGCCCGGACACTGGGCGGCTCAGCCCCCCTGGTGCGGTGCACGGTGCTGGGGATCGAATTGCAGTCAGTCCCTGAGCTTGCCTAAGCATGCCTAAGCAGGTGCTTTAGTTTGCTGTGCTATCTAGCCAGGCCTCTCTGTAGTTTCTGTCAGCAGCTGAGAAAGCAAGCTAAATACTTCCAGGCCTTCAGTTTCTTGCTTACCTAGGGAAGAGAGAGAGGAAACAAAAAAGAGAGAAAAAAGAGAGAAAGAACCTGCTGTTTTACACCTAGTACAATCTATGTGTATGCAACAGACTATTCTTAAGAAGAAAAGATGATACTCATACGTAATGGAGTACTACTCAGTCATGAAGAAGGATGACCTAGAGCTCAGATGGATGACTTTGAAAGCATAATGTGAAGTGAAATAAATGAGACACAGAAGCTTCAATATCAAATGGCTTCTCTTTCACGAGGGAGCCGAAGGAAAAATAAACTGAGGAGAACATAAGAGGTTCAAAATAGAAGAATAAGGAGACCGATCTTTTGCAAATTGGGAGACCAGGAGCAGGAGGGGGAGAGGAGACAGGGTAAGCAACGGAGTTGTAAAAGACAAAGTGTGTTCCGTACATGGTCTCCCCATGAGGGGTCGGTCACTGTGCACTGCGGAACAAAGATTAAAACATGCACTCATTTAGTTCAGAAGCTATGAAGAATCAACATAAGATAAGAAGAGAAACCACTTTTAAAAACACTAGACTAAAGC